TATACAATAATAGAAAGTATACTTTAGTTTAAGCATGCTTTTTAGACATATACAGCATTATTATGTGAGTAATTATTTTAGATTAAAGCAAGAAGTCTGCTTAAAATTCAATCACAATTCAACTTTAATATACTAAAAACTTAGTAAATAATTTTAATTTTGTAAACCTAAAGTGTTGATATAGCAGGTATAATATTATGTTTACTGAGATAGATTGTTTATATTATATAAATATTAACCTTTCTATAAACATTTTTGTAAATATGTACATTAGAGTCGTTTTGAGAAATTTCAATATACCTACCTACAATTTATCATTTGACTACCTACTATTGTATATGTAATTTGTATTCATATGTATAGTCTATTTTATCCTATGTATTTGTGACTTTATTGGTCAAATATAGTAAACAAACTTCATAAAAGATATTTTATTACTGTGGAGAATTAATTGATGTCCGTTTATCTCAAATACAATAGATAAAGTAAATATGTTTTGAAAGTAGCCAACATCTGTTAACCATTTGTGATGACGAATATCTAAGAGTCCTATGTATCCAGTCATTAAATTGTTTATCTATTGTTGGTTGCACCTTAAGACGGCTAAAATGTGACAAATCAACGGGTTGTCAATGAGACCGATAGGGTTTTGTAAGAACCTGAGTGTCTTAAATTACTTTTAAATTGTTTTTTCTACTTTTAAACATTTTTTGGGATAGGACTGTCAATTGTTTGTCAAAATTGATTTTTAATTACTTTCAAATCTTAATGTTGCATATAGTCCTCGGCTACAAAATGGTTATCTTATTTATCAATTTTCCTTTAGCAAAAGTTTTACTATGAGAAAAAAATAAAAAGATACGATTTGTGGGCAACTTTGTGAAATTTTATAAATTCGCATTTTGCCTCCTGAGACAAAACCGCTTAAGTGGGTGTTATTGTTGTCTGTAGTGTACCTGCCATAACAAAATGTATTTAAATTTTTAAAACTCCTTGATTTTGAATTTAAGATATTTAACATAAAAAAATAATAACTGTTAAATAAATTTGATAAAAATAAATTATATGTATATGATTTAATTGTTAAAATTTAAAAACATGATTTCATTATTGGAAAATTCTGATACAGTGGTATTAATTATTCCTGAAGGAAATGTGTGCAGATCTCTTACAAGTACGATTAACATATATAAATGGTGCCCTATATCGGAATATATCCTATTAATAATTGCATATAGCGTAGTATGTCGCAACCTTTGAAGATGATCTTGTGACATAATAGGCAGACAGAGAGATGGGGGTTGTGACATAGTTGGCATTGGTCTGTGTGGCGCCTCGTGGTCGGCGGCGTGACGGTCCGTCGAGATGGACGCGGAACTAGCCGGAATGCATTTGCTGGTGAAAAAATGAGTGATGGCGAGCAGCGGCGGCGGCGGCGGCGCGCGCGGCGCATCCTTGAAAGTTTAACCACCCCGCGCGGTCAGTGCCGTCGCTTCGTCGCCCGCTTGTTTTTCTACGACTCGTTATTTTCGGCTCACACCTTTGCATAATGCCACATTAAGTTTGCACTGCCACTTGAAGTTAGTCAGTTTCTTTAGCTTGTTCAAATTATTTATGGCAAAATTTTAATACGACCTCGTTCTCCACGACAGCTAGCGATTTGAGCGCATTTTATTGAATGCTCAGGTAGGTATTATAAATTTCGTAACTGCACGTGTATGACATTTAAATTAAAAGTAATGTAGGTATATTTACAATTAGTAGGTAGTACATTTAACTCTACCTGTTACAAATTTACGTTTTAGATACAACATAAAAATACTCGTAAAATTACCTGATTACTTATTCTTGGGTGATTAACATATAACATATGACTATAGGTACATGTTTTAGGTACACGTTAGTATGCGTCCTATTTTCTGGTTACGTCCAAGTCTGTCCGGTCACTACCTGCCTTAGTCTCTTGAGCACCGATTTATTGTTGACAGTCAACTAAATGGCAGATGTTAACTATTCATGTAGTACACATTGATTAAGAAGAAACGCTTCCATTAGAAACCGTGCAGACCAAATGAATAATTTGTAATCTTAGTCGGTGCTGATCTAATGAAAAGTCCGTCGAGTGTTTAAGATAAAATTAAAAAACAATAAACTTCTAGGTTTTTCTGTTTATAATTTTGGGCATTAATCGCGGTAATAAGGCTGCAGAGTAATTGTAAGTTTTAAGTTATTGATTCAAATAGTTTTCACTGAAGACATTAAACCGGGAATCTTCTAGCGTATTTTATGCATTATTATGTAAATGAGAAATATGGTGAAGCGTATGCGTACGTCCTCTAACTTAACACCATACCTAGTAGCGTAGGTATGGTGTTAAGTTAGAGGACGTTTTTTGCTTTGCTTTAATAACATCTACTTTCAATCTGGAATTATTATCTTATCATGAAGCTAGAGATAATTATCAGTGCTGCAGAGAAGTTCGTTCCTTGAGAGGAGACATATTTATCAATTATGTTAAGTATCGCAAATAAAGGTCCTGTTTTTTTTTAAGGATATTCGGACTTTGGGGTGTTGCTGTATTGATATTTTTTACACAAAGTTGATTTGTAACTTCAATTCGGTGATACAATCTATGATCTACCTAGTCCAAGAGACAAGAAGTGGACTTCTTAAACACGTATACGTATAAGCATTAGGCAAAGAATCTTTAGAAAAACTACACCTGTGGCCTAATTGACTAATTTTAAAATTTATTACTTACAATTAATTTGATTTTGAATTTTGAAAGATATTCACGAGGTGAACCGCGTGAACGCTACAATTAATTGACATGTGATTGCAAATGTCCGCATTTTTTTGAAAAATATTGAATGAACGATAAGATAACGTTTATTGGACGTTAATCGGAATTTTCTAGCCAAAGTGACAGTTGCGCACATCTGTGAAACGTTCCGCAAGCGATTGTGACAATCCCATAAATCACTATCACAACCGCTATATGTTTGAAAGGGATTAAGATAGAATTTAAAATAAAACAATAAATCGCATTAAAATTGTCATTAGTTTAAAGCGATATTACCCATACAAATTCGACATTCATTAGAGCTTAAAGGCGTCATTAAACCTTAATTCAAATGATCATGTCCAATTTTGACCTAAATATTTACTAATCTCAAAATTTAGCTTATTTTTTACTTATGAAAATTGTCAGGAATTTCAAATCTTCAAATAAAGTCAGGATAAAAATTTCTGTAACGTTCTGCCGAAAAATATTCTTTCTCATAAGGCGAAGAGGTGCAAATTAACTATTACCATTGCTGATTTATTTAAACTATAGAAAAGCTTTGATTTGAAGCAATACCAGAAATTGTGATAGATTGGTTTCTGATATCATTTCAAAGAGCGCGCGATTCCAGAATAACTGTTATTGGATGTGTATTTTTTTTTTTAATAATATCCCTCTTTCCTTTAAGAATCTTCGATTTAATAGCTTCAAAAAAATCTCTTTTTATATGGTTGTGTGATAATTTATGACTTTTTATAGTGTTTTTGAATATTTAAATAATAAAAATGAGTCACAGATGCATGTGCTGAGAATTGTATGATGTCGTAAAATGTAAGACTACTTTTTAAATTTTTTTAATTCTTTTAATCTGGACATTATCTACTTTTATATTTGTACTGATTTTAAAATTTTAATTTGTTTGAAATTTTGTACGTGGGAATAATAATTGTATTACTTATAATTTTGACATTCGATATGTGACTTTGTAATTGTATTTTTTGCATGCTATTGCTGATGGCTCAATGGGCTGAACTCAAATATATGTCAATCTACAGTGTACCTCATTTAAAATCAAATAAATTATTATTATTATACATATTATAAAATAGCTTAACAATTCTCTCTACTTTTGACAGCTTTTATGACCTCAAAACATTTATAAATTACGAATAAAAAGATGCTAAGATTTTATTCTGTTGTAAGTAGGGGATTTAATCGCGGGCCTTTTTTACAATCCCAGGATTCCGGTACTGAGCAAAGACAAGCCCGGGATCCCGGGACAGTCCCGGGATTTGAGGGTAGCATACAAAAATGCGAAAATATGCCAAAATCAACTTTTATTTTTAATATTTAAACATTCTTTAGAAATGGAAAAAGACTGAACAAACAGTTTTCTCTTCTAAACAAAAAACAAATAAATTAAAATATAAAAAAATCAACTTGTGTAACTCAAGGTTAACAAATAAAGTTTCATATTAAGACAAATACTTAGTAGGTAAGTACTTATCACATAGTTAATTATTAATCAGTTTCATTTCTATTTCTAAATCAGTCATTTTCATGCAATGTTACTTTGAAAAAAAAAACTTTATTTTTTATCCCGAAAATCCCGGGGTTTAAGGAATATAATCCCGAAGATTTCGGGTCTGAAAGGACCGGGATCCCGGCTTATATTCCTTAGTTGTAATCGAAAACTAATTTAAATTTGTGAAACTAATTTAAAGTAATGGTGGGTAGACGCATCCCTTTAAGAAAAAAATGTGATAGGTTAATTAACGTATGGAAAGTGGACAGGATTCTTTAACAGGTCTCTGAAACTGATGTAGGCTTATGGAAAATAACCTTATTAGCTAAATGGTGTGCTGGTCTATAAAAACACGATTTAGTATCTAATGTTCATGTAGTCGAATAACTTTAAAAGTGTAGGATCCATGACCCTACAATATTGTTATGAATGTTGCACTTGTTTAAATGTCGGAGCTTGCTGCTATAAAAGGTAAAGTAAATTAATTGTATGGGCTACCTCGCTTCACCACCCGACTTTCCTAACTTTGTGTTCAGAATGTTGTCCATATAGAATAGATAATAGAAAACGTAAAACTTAAACTTTGGGATAAAGAAAGTCGCATACGATACGTTTTTTTTTTGCAGTCGTGTAGTTATTAAAAGTAGTAGCGATATCTCACTTTAAGATTTTGTGCATATCTGCCGGAAAATGCGTTCAACGTCAGAACTGACACAACATAAGATACTTCTGCGGGTCATCAGGCGGATCTTTCGGCATATTTGCACCGATGCTTTGCCAACAAATTTCCGAGTCGAACGATTCGGGGCCGACACTATTTTAACAGGTCTAGGAGAGCTTAACGCTAATCGCTGCAAACGGAAAGATGTCGGGAGATACTCGGGGGAGGTGCATAATCGTTGTAAATCAGTCGCCTGCGTGTAAAACTCAGACGTTCGTTCGTCGATTGATGGAGGCGATGATGGTTTGCTCAGAGTGAGGCTGCTGGTGCACGCGCGGTCCGGTGCAGCGGTGGCGCTGAAGGCGGTGCGCGCGGGGGAGGGCGGGGAGGGCGCGCGCGAGGCGGCGCTGCACCGCGCGCTGCGCCACCCGCGCGTGCTACGCTGTCTGGGCGAGCGCACGCACCAGGGGCTGCACTACATGTTCCTGGAGTATGCGCAGGGCGGCGAGCTGTTTGACCGCATCGGTGAGTTGAACTCGACCCTTGTCTGTACACGGTGACGGCTGTTGAGACGGGCGATACGTTGCCTTTCAATACCTCAAACATTACAAACTAAATCACATCTAGAAAGTTAAAGGTTCGGAAGAGGGGGGCATTAGACTCATACTAGGATCTGCGGCTGCGTGCGGCTATTTCGATATAATAGTATCACCAGATTCGGTTTTATGGATCGTGGAAGAAATGGGATAAATTTTACTTGTAAATCCGTGTTGAACAACCGGCATTATTAAAATACAGACATCATAACCAATATCGTTAATTTGAAATTCAAATAAAGAAACGAGTCTATTTCATAATAAGGTCTATAAATTATCATAACGAGTAAAAAATAAAAATTACTGTGTAAGTGATCATTGCAAATTAAGCCGATCGCCAGGAGCTCCATGTCGTAGAGTAAGCGCGTTCGGGTTGGGATGCTGACGTTATGCAAGTATCGCAAGTGCAACAGTCGGGGAAGGAGTGCGTTATTATGTAGATCTATTCTTTATCTTTAATATATATTTGCGAATTTTTTAATATCGATATAATTTACGAACAATATCTGTTGTCGAAACACGCCAGTCTTTCGCCGGATACCGCTTCATCTTGCCGGTTAATATTGAATCGACATAACGAAGCTTTAACCAGCGATCGGATTTATCCAATATAAAATGTTGGAGTTCGGTCTACAGATGTAGTAATTAGCGACGTAACGATTATCCGGACGAGCGAATCTAGACGTTACGACAGCGCTTCATTCCAAAGAGCTTTCGAGTCGATAATGAAAGATGTGGAGTCGAGTTGCGTGTGACGTGTGGTGGTGTTGTGTGTGGATAGAGCCGGACGTGGGCATGAGCGCGCGCGCGGCGCGGCGCTACTGGCGGCAGCTGCTGGAGGGGCTGCGCTACCTGCACGGCCGCGGCGTCGCGCACCGCGACATCAAGCCCGAGAACCTGCTGCTCGACGCGCACGACAACATCAAGATATCCGACTTCGGGATGGCCACGCTCTTCAGGTGAGGTGCGTACTGTCGACGCGTGCCGGTCCCGTGTCGCCGGCTAGCGGACTACAGCACTGTGCGTGTGTGTGCAGACACGGCTCGTCGGAGCGGCTGCTGTCGCGCGTGTGCGGCACGCTGCCGTACGCCGCGCCCGAGGTACTGGCGGCGACGCGTGCGCCGTACCGCGCCGCGCCCGCCGACTGCTGGGCCGCCGCGCTCGTGCTCGCCGCCATGCTCGCCGGCGGTCAGTACCACGCTCGATTCTGAATTTAATCATTCGCTTTATCACTTCCGGAATGATTTGCTATGCTATATATCTTATGTTGATCTTAACATTACCTACAGAACGTTTAAAAAAATTACAATATATGTGTTATGGACCGAGTGATAAAATGAACATTATACATAATGCCCGGTCGTTATAAATATTGTCCATTATCTTTTGGGCAGAGAAATACAAACATTTAAGTAGCTGACTCTTGACCACGATCTAGCTTAAGGACACAAAATAAAATAATTTAAAATAAATGATAAACGAAGGCTCCTACCTTTTTACCAAAAATTGTTTGGCCAATTATCCTTTGCCCACCAAAGTTTAGCCTGTTTCACTTTGACAACTAACAATTAGCAAATTTTTGTATGACGACATTTCATTTGGCAAAATTTATGACAAAAAGCATTTGGGATATTTATCATTTATGCATCTAAAAAATTTAAAAATTTTATAGGCCTATAAATTGATAAAATAAAATGTTAATGATAAACAAGATAATTCTTAGAGAGAACATCCAACCTGTAATGGGGATCGAAATGTACTATTGAAAAAACATGTAACTAAAGGCTGGGGATTATCTCATTTCGACCACGAGCTGCGCTTTTATTTACCTAAACTACATAAAATGCAGTGTTCAGTCATTAACTGAACACGTGAGTATGTAGATTTATGTTCAAGAATTTTGTAATAAGTATAGCAACAGATACATGTGGGTTATGTTAGGCTGGTTTATGATAAACAACGCACGAGTCGAGCGAGCGTATAGTAAGTGCTTGAAGCGAATCGCTTTTGTAGAAGCAACAGTTAGGTTAGCTTAGATCACACTAATGCTGAAAATAGTTGTGACGACGACCGAAGAGAGGAGAGGTGTTAGGTTGACTGAGCAAAACAGAATCGACTTAATAAATACAACATTAAATAAACAACTTTGTTAAAATTATGCTGACTAAATCATTTGCTACTTGGAAGAAGGATTTTTAAGTGTCATTATTAAAAACATACCAAATGAACCATTGGTAATGGTGAGGTTGGGAAATAAAACATTTTTTTATGATAAGTTGACAAATAATTATTCAGAGAAATAAAATTCTACGAAACGTTACTTAGTAAGTAATAATAATCGACCAAACAGTTTTCGGCAAAAGGTAGAGAACCGTTAAACAATGTTAATAATGTTGGTTCGGAAGCGAGGAATCGACGAGTGATCATTGCGAACGTGGGCCTTGGGAACTTTCGAGTTTGCATTATTTCAATTTTACGTAGATTTTATTGTTTGATGTTGTTTTAAAGTTTTTGATGTCGTAGTTTAGCCACTAGAATTTGCCCCTTTTTTGCAAATATACTAGTGGAAAGCTAGGAGATCGTCCATCCAGCTCCGGCTCGAATTTTTACCGGAGGAGGGACGGATTCTCCGCGATCTCTTAGCTTCCTGATCTTCCGAGCGATCGAAGTACTGAAACGAATAGACTTGTTGCCGAATGGAAAAGTTGCACATTCTCGACGCGCTGGGAAGACGTCACCGGATAGGGGCGGCTCGCCTCTTTGGTATCCTAGCTGTAGGCGGTGAGTGGCAGCCCTAAAGTTATGGTACCGAAGTTACGAGCCGCCGCGCATCGCACGAGACGCCACTGCCCTCTGCATGATAACCACGTCTGCTGCGTGTCACTAAGCGCATGTGAGCTCGATTTTAATTTATTTTATTTGATCCATTTTGTATTCACAACAATGCTATGTTATCCAGATAATTTTTTTAATGAAAAATGCCGAACCGGTATACCGGCGCCGGTGGAATTATTTTTAATGAATAAGCATTTTTCATTAAAACTATTTATTACGGACGCGACCTACAATGGCGTTTGTAAAGTTTATTTTGTCGGTTGCTTATGTAGCTTATTTAAATATTGATCCAAATACGAAATGTTTTTTTCGTTTTATGTAAATCTAAACCTTATCGATATAATTGTGTGTAGTTGATAAATAAACGTATTCACTGTGTATCTTAAATTAACCTATGTTATGTCGGAGGCATGACTGCGACGACGGGCGTTTTAATCTTTATAATTTGTAACTACGAGGGTGGATTGAAAAGTTCGCGACCTCAGCAAGAAAACAATACAAAATATAAACAAAAGTAATTTTATTTTTCTACGTTATCTCCACTTAACACTATGCACTTCTTCCATCTGGTTTCCAACGCCTGTATGCCGGTCATAAAAAAAGTTTCTTTAAGGCCTTCAAAAAAGTCACCCACCGCAGCTTCGACCTCCTTATTTGATGAAAATTTGTGACCTCCAAGGTGTTTGTTTAGGTTTGGGAATAAATGAAAGTCTGAATGTGCCAAATCAGGGGAATAGGTGGGATGGGGCAGTAATTCAAAGCCACAATCACGAATTTGAGCCATAGATTCAACAGACGTGTGAACGTGTGAATTATCCTGATGGAACAACTCTTTCTTGGTGAGTAAACCTGGCCTTTTCTCTTTGATGTTTCGCGCAAGCGACGTAAGAGGGTGCAGTAATAAGCCGAGTTTATAGTTTCATCTTTTGCAAGGTAGTCCACCAAGATGACACATTCTCATCCCAAAAAACTGACGCCATCACTTTGCCAGCTGACAAAATGGTTTTGGCTTTTTTGAGAGTCGGTTCATCACGTTTTTTCCACTGCTCGGATTGCTGTTTTGATTCTGGGGTGTAGTGGTGTACCCAAGTTTCATCCATTGTTACAAATCTACCCACTCGTACCCACCGCGCAGAAACCTTAGAAAATCCAAGTTCATTGACTATGATGTTTTGTGTTCATTCATACGAGATGCCAATAGTGTCTGCAATCTTCAGATTTTCCCGATGTTGTAGTAAACTAATCGAATGAGGTCAGTTACATTAAAAAAGTTTTAAGTATTTATGTGTTAGGTTCGCGAACTTTTCAATCCACCCTCGTATTTCTATTTTTTAAGGACATGTATAAAATTAAATGCATCAGTAGAATCACAAAGGAGAATAATTTGAAATTATTTGGACCGAGACTGTTCGATCTAGCCGATAGAGGTGGGGGGGGATCGAATATAAATATTTGGCCAACGGTAACATTTTAAGTTTCTCCCTCTCGAGTCTACGATCCGGATGTATCGGATCGCGCTAACGATGGAGAAACGCTCGGAGAGGTCGCGGAAGGCCTTCGCCGACCGTCGGTTTACGATTTGTATTCGGACGCGTATAGAGCTGCCGTGGGAGCGCGCGTGCCCGCAGGACGAGCGGTACGCGGCGTGGGCGCGGTGGGTGGAGGAGGGCGCGGGGGCGGCGGGGGCGGGGGCGGTGCCGGCGCCGTTCCACAAGCTGCCGGGCGGCGCGCGCTCGCTGCTGCGGCGGGCGCTGGCGCCGCGCGCGCGCGACCGCCCCGCCCTCGAGCGGCTCATGCGCTGCGGCTGGCTCACGCAGGACGACCCGCCAGGTCAGAGCCGTTGTTCAAACTCTCTCGACGCTCGCTCGACGACGGAGATCGAATTCGTTGCCGCGCCACCTGTTCCGACCTCCGCCTTCTCGTGCGTTTTCGCCGTTTGCTAAAATTTATCCGTCGGAATCGTGGAGCTCGCGGGGGAATCGAACGATTTTCATCCTCGAAAGTTCATTTCGATTTAATTTGAATGTAACACTGTTTACGTTTTTATGCATTTGACATATATGTATGTAAATGTTAGTCATCGCCCTAGTGATGTGTATTGTATAGGATGTTGTGTGATACGTTCCGGTCCGCGTGTGGAGCGCGGTGCGCGGTGCCAGGTACTAGGTGACTCTGAGTGGCGCGCGGTCTCAGAGCCGCCTCGTGCCTCAGCACCGCGCCCGCCCCCGCCCCACCCCGTCGCCCCGTCGCCCCCGCCCCGCCGCCGTCACCTGCGCTCTGCGGCGCTTTGGCCATTTAGCTCCGTGACGTGTTGAATGCTCATAAAGCTAGATTACCAAAGCACTGCGTTGTCGCTCCGTCATCACGAACGGGAGGCACGTCGAAGAGGAGCGGCGTTCCAGATTTTTTCGAGATAATAATTGTGACATTTTGATTTCTACCGATTTGATATTGTGTGTTGTTAGTTTTAAAAATATAGATATGGAAATTTAGGATCTCGCTTCGACAGATTCAAACGCGAAGACGTGTTATGTTATGTATGTTAAAGAAATATTTGGTATCTTCTCGTATCTAAATGTTATGACCGAGTGTTATCGATAAATTACGAATTATACATAATGCTCCCTCATTGTGAAAAAATACCCAATATGAAGAGCGATTTGATAAAAATTATTCAAGCCTCAATTAACTTTCATTTTTAATAAATGCATTGATGAAGGAACTTTTCCTTATTTAAGGAAATATGGTAAAAATAATTCCACTTTTCAAGGCAGGCGACAAGTCTGATCCCAGAAATTTCATACCAATATCTATACTACCAGCGCTCAGTAAAGTATTTGAGAAAATTATTTATAATCACAAAAATCAGTTTGGTTTTAGCAGAGGTAAATGTACCACAGCCGCTTGAAATTGCACTTTTGAAATATATCTGTGATGCTTGGGAGAATAAACAAGATGCCATCGGCATTTTTTTTGCGATCCCTCAAAAGCATTCCACTGCGTTAGTCATGAAACACTGTTGGGTAATTAGAGCATTATGGTGTGACTAAAAATTCACTAAATCTAATAAAATCATGTTTCTGCTAGAATTAAAAAAGTAGAATGAAGTGAAATCTGCATAGGGACCCATTACTATGGGTGTACCTCAGGGACCGGTATTAGAACCATTGCTTATTCTAATTTACATTAATGATCTTTCTCACTCTACGAAGAATTTGTGCGAGACAGTATTATTTACAGATGACACCTCTTTAGTATTACAAGAGGGTTAATTATTGTTTTGATGATGTAAATGATGCTCTTGACAAGGTTCTACAGTGGTTTGATAATAATAATTTAAAGCTTAATTCAAATAAATTGAAATACATAAAGTTTACATTACCTAAAGTGAGGCATGATAGTACACTTATAAATGAAATAGTGAAAAAGTTAAGTTGGTGGAATCGACAAAGTTCTTTGGTACTTATTACACTAGATTCCCGATTGCAATGGGATCCTCATTTTGATAACTTGTCAAGTAGAGGTTGAGTTCTGCAGCATTTGCTGTTAACAAAAATTAGACTCATGACAAATGTTGAAATGGCAAGATTGGTATATTTTAGTCATTTTCATAGTGTAATGACGTATGGTATATTGTTGTGGGGTTCTGTGGCTAGCATTCGAGATATTTTTATTCTACAATAGAGAGCTGTCCACGCTATATATAATTTACGGTCTAGAGAATCTCTCAGAGAAATATTTAAAAGAAATAAATATTTCGACTGTGAAAATATTGTGTACGCAAGAAAGCATTACGATTCCTTCACAAAAAAGTAGTGTTCATATTCTTAACACAAGAAATTAAATAAACTTGCAGTTCCCAGCTTCAGACTTCAGAAAACCAGAGGATCATTTCTGGCTAAATGCTTTGCTATGTTCAATAAAGAGCCACAAAATGTAATTGACCTACCCATAAATAAATTTAAAATTCACGTAAAGAACATATTTATGAGTAAAGGCTATTATAAAGTTGATGATTATTTTAGGGACCGCAACGCATGGAATTAATAGGCTTCGCTTTGTTCTATAACAACAAATTATATGTACAACCTATAATCTACAGACTTTGAAAGTTGTATTTATTATTGTGATAATACATATTATTTTGGTAATGACATGATTTTGGTTATGTCATTACTTATGATCAGAGGTCGGAATTAGGTAGAGTTATTTATGTACTTGCATCGAAATGTTGATATTAATGTGGACCTTCCCGGGATTTCTAATGGACAATCTCGTGTGGCCAACAATCTTACAACTAAATAATAATAACAACGTCAGAGATAGACAAATAAAGAAAAGATAATTAGCATAAAATTTTTATTTGTTTACATTAATTTACAATACAAATTATTGATAGTCTTAAGCAAATTCTCATACGCATATTTCGCCTTTTTTATAAATACGAGCGAATAGTTTTGCTTCTAGCCTAGACTCATGAGGTCAAAAATCACGGGATTTTTTCTGCTCTTTAAAATTAATCTCGGGATTTGAGGCATATCCACTTTATTCTTTCGCTGTATGAATTCAGTGTAAGTACATTAATAACTCTACCTAATTCTGACAACTGCTTATGATAAAGAGCTGGTTAAGTTTCGCTTGTTCTTCTTGTGAGCTGAAAGATGTCCCAAACAAATGGTAGGGGAAAAAAAAGTTTTGGATGATTCAAAAGTGCTTGTAAGAAGCTTACTTGAGTAAAGATATTTTCATTTCATTTTATTTCAACAACACTTCATTCCACCACACTGCAGCGCGGAGCACAGTTAAGAAAAACAAAGAAAGGCTACACTGCTCTTCGCGATAGATAATCTTAAATTTCTAACTTATCACGTGGCCTGCAAGGTCAAAATAAATTTGTTTATCCGAACATTGTTTTTGTTATCTGTTAAAAAATTAACAATCAGATTAATTTACAACGTAATTAATAATTAAAGTCAATTTTAGCTTTATTATCAAATTGTCCAATTTTCAGATAGCAATATAATATTATGTATATGAAAATAACGATTATGTAATGTGATAAATAACGAAGTTTAGATAGAAATTAATCACTTAGCTGGAGAAAGCTAAACAATATTCATAATGTTAGCACATTATCAATAATATTTGCATGAATCAACTGGTACATAACATAAATATTGATGAAAAAAAAAAAAAAAAAGTTGGGAAGCCTAGCCTTTTAAAAGATATATACTGTTTAAAAATAGATGTCGAAGAATTCAAAGATGTGTATTAATTAAGATTTGATTTTAAATCAATCTTTATTGAGAACGGTGTTAGGAATAGGTAGTGCTCCTTAGGCGTAATTTTAAAGACGAGACTTCCTAGGACTATATTTTTTCGAGACAAGACTGACATAAAAAAGTCTTCGTTTGTCTAAGTTTACGACTAGAATGTTCAAAAGTGTTAAATCTGCAAATATATACATATATCGATCGTGCCTTTCTCACAGGTATATCCGAGACCTGTTTATTCGCTAATATTATTGTAAAAAACCAATAAAACTTAGGAAGTCTTCGTTTCTCGTATCTATGTTAGAGCGTTGCCCATTCCTGTCCCGGATTATAAGGAACAAAATTATAACATTTTTTTGATAAACGTCTCGGATGGCAGACGGGGGAGGCCGGCCGTGGCGGTCGCAGCCGGCGGGGCTGGGCGCGGGCGAGGCGGAGGCGGAGGGTGAGGGGGAGGGGCAGCTGTCGGCCGCCGCCGGGGCCGTGGACGCGCTGCTGTCGCACTCGCAGCCCGCGCACGCCGACGACCTGCTGCTCGCCTCGCAGATGTCCTCGCCGAGCACGCAGCCGGTACGTGCAGCCCGAGACGGACTAAGTCGAGTTCTCCATCGATCGATACGCGCGTAACGTGCGGATGGTGTTGTTCGACAGAGCGTGGAGGCGTGGCTGGTGCGGCGCATGACGCGCGTGCGCGTGCGCGCGGGGGCGGTGGAGGGGGGCGCGGGGGCGGGGGTGGGGGCGGGGGCGGGGCGCGTGCTGGCCGCGGTGGCGGAGGCGGCGCACGCGCTCTCGTACCGCACGCGGCTGCTGCACGACAACCTGGTGAGTAGTACTCGGCGCCACACCACTGACTCGCATATTCAACGAACATATTAACGTCGTCTCCCATGACCGACGATTCTATTGTAACTTGTTATCTCATTGAAAAATATCGCCTCGTGTAAAATATAATCTCGGGCGGTGACAGTACCTCGTCCATGAACGATGTTTAATATTTTTGTTTTTATATAGAATGGTGGCGTTCAAAATTATATAGCGATTTGTAATGTAATCTGTCGGTGGAGACGTCCCTTTTCAGTGTACTGAACGTCGATGTCTTCACGTTTATTAGTCGGTGATGTAAATTTGATGCAATCGATCGCTGACCTATCTTAGGCCGGGACGTCCTATCGTGACCGAACGCGAGCGATCGAAGATTTGGTACGTCGAGCCCGCACGTCGGTCCCGGCAGCGCCGACGATTCTTCTCAAAAACCCAAAAATCTCTGTGAACCACCTTCGTCGTTCGAACGGAGCGAGCGAGTAGAGTCGTCACAAAGTCACCAGGACGGCCGCTCTCGTAGTCTGTGACATTCTTTATGTTTTAGAATTTTTACTTCCGGCCTCGGTCCGTTAAAATGATGTGCGGTGTCTGTGACAGATGGCGATCGAGTGTGACTCGGAAGTGAAGATGCGCGCGTGGGTGTCGCGCGGGGGCGGGGGCGCCGCGGGGGGCGGGGGCGCGCTGCTCGAGTTCCGGCGGTCGCGCGGCTGCGGGCTCGAGTTCAAGCGGCGCTACCTGCAGCTGCGGCAGCGGCTGCGGCACGTGCTGGAGGAGGAGAACTGACCGATGCGCCGTGCGTTGGGGCCGACTGCCCTCTGAGGGATACGTCGTTTTTTGTGACTTGCGCTCTCTGAATTGATCGTCGGCGTCGAGGTGTTTGTAGATCGAGCCGATGGGCCTTAACGGTCCGACATATCGCGGTGGCGGATCGGCGATGACGATGAAAATTACAGTTCGCCTCGTTGCACACCGATAACGAGAGACGCTCTATATTTTTGATACTTTAATAAATCGATTTTACATTCCTTAGTTGTGTATTTCATTATTTCCTGAATCGTTTGATACCGAGACGAGATGCCTCTGTATGTCATGGGTGAAATTATCGGGCTAAGAGGGCGATGTAATAAAAGCTAAAGAAATGATGAAATTGCCCGGGCATTATTTATAATACCCGTTACCTATCGGGCAAACGTTTAAAATGTCATTGTATCATCGGGGGGCCTGGGTATCTATGAATCCGCAAATGCTTAGTTTGATTGAGTCGTACTACCAGTTTACTACTAGGTACAACTATATATTGTGATTTCCAGTGTGTTCTGGAATGTACGATGAGCATTTGTAAGTGGAATGCGCACTACTCGTCTTTTGGAGAACTGCTGGTCTTCGTGCAACCGGCTCCTAACCGGGTCTTCTTGTGCGGTGGTGGCTCGTAACTCTGCCTGATCCTCGTTTTTTAGACAACATCACATACATTGCTCCGATTCCAAGATGAGTAGCTAAAACCCCCGTATTATGGAGTATCTGAGACAACGAAAGTAATTTAAGAAAAAGAACGCTGTGAATGTTCTTCTAAAATTAAAACTACAGCTCTGGCCAACCATAGGTAGGTAATGTTCGTAGTTAAACAATACGAGGGTGATTTGAATAGTTCTCGGCCTGACCGAGATTTGAGGGTATTAAGTAAACTAATTTATTATCATTCGCCATTTCGATTCTTTATTTAATCGTCTGTCAAGTGCTATTACGATAGGTTAAGTTAATATTTTTCTACAAATTTTGGTTCGAGCGAATCTGCTTTTTTACTAGAAAATGGAAAAGAGTGAAATAAGAGCTGTGATTAAATATTTTGTAAAAAAAAAAATATGACGCCAAGTCAAATCAAGGCGGAGACGGATAACACATTAGGTGAATCTGCGTCTTCGTATTCCACAATAAAAAAGTGGACAGTATTGTTCAAACAGGGCAGAGAAAGCGTCAAAGATGACCCTCGGAGCAGGAGGCCGTCGACGGCCACCACGCCAGAAATCATCGACAAAATCCACAAAAGAGTTTTAGATGACCGAAGATTGAAAGTACGTAAGACAAGTTACAGGGATCTCAACTGAACGGGTATTTCATATTTTATAAGACGAGCTAAAATGAAAAAGTTGTCAGCAACATGGTCAACCGAGTCTGGAGAGAGAATCTGGCGTTGATTCGATCAAGTACTAGCGTCTTTTTAAGAAGATTTATAACCACCGATGAAACTTGGATTCACGACTATATTCCTGAGACAAAACAGTCGAAACAGTGGAAACAGCGATTCTCCGCCACCGAAAAAAGCCATCATCATCACTTTTCCTTTTTGACGTGTTTTGGGATTGGAAGGGAATTATTTTTATTGCCTACCTTCCCAAAGGACAAACTATAACAGGCCTTTACCATTCCATTCTGTTAGATAAATAAGCAGAAAAATTCCCGAATAAAGAAAAACTTTTTTCATCTGTATAATGCCAGATCATTAATTTATGTATAAAAATATGTTCTATTTTGGTTTTGAATAAGTATTATTATTATTATAGTGGATTATAATGCGCGCACAAGTCAGTTGCAATGGCTAAGATTTATGAACTCCGTTTCAAAGTAATAAACCATCCACCATATTCACTTGATCTAGCACCATCGGACTATTTTCTGTTCCCCAAGTTGAAAAAACACCTGACTGGAAGAAAGTTTTCCACAAGCAAAGAGGTAGAGGCGGAGCGGTTTTTATGAAGAGTCGGAGGAATGTGCGTATAAGAGCGGCATTGAAGCACTGGAGCATAGATTGGATAAGTGTAATGAGATAAGGAGAGAATAGGTAGAAAAATAAAACATGTTTTCATTTTATTTTCTTTGTTTTCTTGGTGGGGCCGAGAACTTTTCAAGCCACCCTCGTATTTGAACTGTACACGACTAATTCCAAACTTTAACTGAATTTAACTATTAACTCAAAGGTAAAATCAAGTGGTTCCTCTAAAAAAACCTCTAAATCTACCCAGTTTAACAAATTTTTGCTGGTGGTTTACTCAAATAGGACTCGTCAACACTTAAGATAGTAAGAAGAACGTATCACAAGTATCAACCACTCAAGATTTATGTGAATAAATTCCCTTTTTAAATACTTAGTGGCCCTTATTTTGTTTTAACTGGTATATATAATCTATAAACATAATTAACTGTTCATTAAAAGGAATAAAAATAAATAATTGAAATCACCACTGCTATAATTGGACTAGAATATAAAAGAAAGAAGTTTTATTATGGCTTGGCTAAACATAATTCTCATTGCAGCGGGGGGACCGTTTTTCGAAATATTTGCAATCTATGAGGTCCCCCGACTGCAATGAGAATTTAATTTTTGAACTTTTTGAATCATTACACTTAGTTTTTAAGGAAATTAAGGGTAGAGATAAAACAATTTTTTATAAAATGGTTTATTACAAAAATGCCATTTAATTGTAGCTATGTTTAGACCGAGAGTGAACAGGCCCATTAGGTGGTGCGGTGCCCGCCCCGCGCGACTCATCATTCACTGTCTCACTCGCACACAGCACAGCGACACAATTGCTTCACTCACACTCACTCGCTATCGCTACTCACTCAATTACCAGTTAACAACTACGCACTCTGCTTTATAAGTATGACGACATCCGCGTCGATAACCCTAAGTGCTTTACTGTTACAAATACAAACATCAGTTAATATGTGAATTATTTATCATAGAGTACAGGCATGAAATGACACTGAATGAAATATTTCAGATGCTACATACTTAATCTACATTAGCTCAAAACAATTAGACATTCTGAAAAACTCAATACAATGAAGCACCCAATAAAAACAATAAATTTGGACATTTATCTTATTTCGAACAAAACATGAAGTTAGAAAAGTTATTATCTTTTTTAGACGTTTTCTGATAAATAATAAAAAACTGCTATAATTATGTAGAAGTAGCGACGTACGTACGTTATAAGTATACCTACAATCATTGGCACTTTATACAAAAAAGGCTTTTGAAATGATCTAATCACATGGAAGGTATTCGTTTAGTTAGACATTTGCCACAAGCCAGGATGTTCTAATTTATTACATCGATAACAAATAGCAGAGAGTAGCCGAACAACACTTAACACAATATTATTTCTTGTCATAACACTATCAGATAGGTCTAGTAACATACATGTTTAAGCGTCTAATAATACTCAATGTTCAATAAATTGCAATAGTAGAATAAAATAACCAATATCCTATATTATAACATGAAATAATCGTGTAGGTATTTTATTTTACGTCAATCGTAAGGATATCTTAGTACATATTTAATACGATCAAAACCCTACTTATCGCTCTGTTGTGTTGTTGGCACGTAGGTACCGGTGGAACATCGCGCAGCCGCTCTATATTTGAATGATTCGATTCGTTTCAAAATTCAAAATTTTATTCAACATTTGACTATTTCGGTTTCCCTAGAGTGCAACAAATAACTAATTGGTATCGGTCATTCTTCTTCTTCTTTTATTAATGGCTTATCTGCGTGTTTCGCACAATTCCAGTGTCAATGTCAAGTGAATAAATTAATTTTTACATGTAAAATGAAATAGAAATGAATGAGAGACTCGTTGTCGAGAAGATTTATAGACGTACAGTAAACGTAACACAAAATTATCAAATTTCTTCACTTCATTTTAATCCATAACGCGTTATATGTAGAGTTTAAAATCAATTGAGGAAATTTCACATATTATGGTAGCGTAACGTGCAGGCGTATATACATACATCCATATTCTACCAATATTCGATGCATCAAAGAGATATCGGTTGAAACTACTTTAAGAATGAGAGTGATAACTCTCGGAGCGATTTAAGCCATGGGCTCTGTGAAATCGCCACTCGCATGGATGTGAAGTTATAGATAATGACATCTTTCTGTGTTCTGTGTAATGCACGACAGCAATTTTAACGGCGCGATTTACGCACCGCCGCCCGCCCGCCGTGTGTGCGGCAGCAACATCACTAGCGCTACTAGCGTGCGGAGGTGGGCAGTATTACGTAACTGCAGCGGGCGCAGTCATACGGTTTACTTTTTTGTCCCTCCAAAATTGCGGAGATGTAAAATCATGCGGTATTGTGAAATAAAACAATTCTTCCGTCGCTACCGGCCCCAAAAGGCAAGGCAGGGCAAATACTTATATATAGCTCCACGAGTTCTATTGCTCTTTATCCTATTAGAAGACGAAACAATCTTTTCATAGCGATTATTTTAGGTTTTTTTAATTTTTTACATCAAAATAATTAAAATTCAACATTCATATTATATTGTCAATTTTTAGAAAACAATAAATTAATCGAGTTTGACCCAAGTCGTTGAAGACAATATTTTTAACAAGCAATCAAAAATAGAGCCTCCAGTAGCGACAAAGAGGCGGCAACAGAGCGGCAGCTCTGAACTGGAGCTGTTGGCGCGCCAGGTACCCACAGAGCTGACGACGACCTCTCAAAGGGAGGGGAGCCGCACGATTTTGATATGTTTATTGCACTTATGCACTCCCAGACTTATCTTACCCTTGGAATCGACATCGGCATTCGAATATCGGTAAATACCGCGAGTCGATATTACATAATTGCCTTATCTACTTAACTTCTACTTATCCGAATACTACACGGTAAGAAAAGGTGCGTCTCCTTGACCGTAGTCTAATTCTATAATCACGGTGTCACTCACACACAAGAGGTGAGGGGTGACGCACATTCACATCCACTTTATTCGTATAGCTCAAGTAACTTCACGAAAATCTTTAAGGCTAGGTCGTAATACGTTGTTCGCTCGCATACTGAATCGCATCAGTTATAAACAACGTTGACTGATGAAGATTTTTTTAATTAAAATTTTAAGTGTTAACAAATTAACACTTAAAATTTTAATTAAAAAAATCTTCAAATAGAGTTCGATAATAAGAAAACCTACATTTTCATAATGTATATTCGGTTAAGATGAAATATTTTAGTCGTAAAATTCGTATAAAAACTGTTAAGAATTTATTTCAATTAACAAAATCTTTATTCGTGCGTTAGATTTGTCACGAATAATTTTTTTTCAGTAAATAGTCGGATTATAAGTTGTGCACTGACTGCGCCTTGACTACGACCCCTCGCCTCAACAATCTTCTCAGAATGTTGCGCAATGTACACATTTATCATAATGCTAAACTTTTAAAATTGCTCTCAGAAGTCAGGCCATCTCGAGGTGAAATAGTAAATGACGCCGTTCCAAATTTAATTGTTTAAATTAATGTATTATGTGTGAGTCTGGTGTTCAGCACAACATTTCACGTATTATTTACACATTATCTTCATATATAATACACGCGGAGCAGTCGCCCGTGGTCACGCGCGCCTCTCGCGTCATTGCTTGCTTCAGAGATTACATTCAGATGTCTCTTAACCTACAGAGTCTTCGCCTTTTCTAACAGGTCGGTAATGAATTTCTGAAAACGAAGGTATATAGTTAGATTGTATATAATAAATAGTAAATTGAAGTAGGAGGTGTCGATGATTACTTACATTTACATCTTTTTGTGGCTTTTTGGCATCTGCTAATAGCGTCTGGAATAAAAGTTTTATTAGGTAAGTAATAGTTTGAAAAGGAATTCTTCATTTAAGCTTGTCGGTGGGTGTGTAAACATAGCCGAGACCACCGGCTTAATGCGCCTTCTGTACAACCCACCGATGACCCTTAGCCTTAACCAAAGTTTCGTAACTTTCGCAATCGTCGATATAAATCGTCTCATTACCCACCGCGCTCGTCTATTAATGAAATGAAATGAAAATATCTTTATTCAAGTAAGTCTTTTAGCTGACAAGAAGAACAAGCGAAAGAAACTTATATAAACTTAGAAATTTAACATGACTTATACGAGTAAAGAAAAAAATAAGGTTATTTTAATTTTTTTTATTTTATTTTATATCAAAGGAGGCGTGAATTTACGAATTTTTAGGTTTACAAAGTAACTACTAATTCAAGTATTCTACTCGTATAATTATCCTTGTACAATTTTTATGATATCGCTCGTAAATATATCTTTTCTCCGCCACAGCCAGAAAAAGAATCATGCGTGTGCGTGTGTGTATGGGTGTGTGTTTGTGTGTGTGTGGTGGGTGACTGACCGTGAGGTGTTGGCGGCGGTGGTCGTCGCCGTCCATGTCGAGCAGCTCGTCGATGTCCACCTCCACCTCCTGCGTGGTGCCGGGCCCGCTGCTTTCCTGTAATAGCATTATGGCAATCTTCATTGCAAACTCTTCTACTAAATGGCAGTGAAATCAATTCGTTAAATAATTATTTATAATTCCTGCGGCCCTCGTAAACGGAAAACAAAAAAATTGTATTTAGCCGACGTAGTGGGTACCGTGAGTGAATAATTTGGGCCGGTAAATTTCTCGTGAGTAGTAACAGAATTAATTAAGATGAGGAAATATAAACGTATAGTCCTGTTAAAACAAATAATAAATCCTGTAAGTTAGTCAAAATTCGAATAGAGGTGAAAGTTGGTAATAACGTATAATAAACCATTACTAATGAAATGTCAAAAATCTCCATAGATCTTTTTGTGCAAAAAAATATCCAGGTCAAACATTCCGGGTTTTCTCATTTTTCTCCGAAACCGTATTATCGTTAAAATAGGCTAGACAAAAGTTGTAGATCATACAATTCTCTACAAATATTGTTCTAATACATTCTTTCGTACGTGTCACCATTCGAGAGATATCGCGATTTTAAAAGTTGAAAGATTCATATTCTCCTGCACACGTCATCAAACGTTTAATATAAGTTATGAGTAAAAATAAAAAACCTATTGGTTTGTGTAAGTTCAACACTACTTGTACGAAATTGATTCCATAGACAAATATAGATATTTAAGGTTTGTGAAAGCTGCACGGAACAATAAAACAGTTTGACCTTGGATAAACTTTATTGAGGATCCATGGGGTCTATTGACGATTTTTTAAACGTCTCTTTCAATTTCCAGTTTTATGGGAATTCTATCGAATTTAAAATTTTAATTGACTGTACTGGATTAGTTTGTGACAGGTGGTGTGATACACCTCTCGATTTTTATCAAAAATACTATAATAATTAACCTATAAAAAATTATATACTGCACTTAAAGAAGATTCAGGATGCAAGAGGTCTTAAGATGGTGTTAATAAAAAAGTGAATGAACGAGCACTAAGTACGTTTGTTTGTTGCATTTGTGTAAGGCGCCGTCGACCGTGCGACCTTTGTTTCGATCATAGAAAATAGAAAATAGAAAAAATCTTGCAATCAGAATCTACTTACCACTGTTTCGTAGAGTTTTTGTAGCTCATCGTAGAGCCACATTTCGACGGCGAGCCGCTTACGTATGAGCGCCATCTGATGGCTGCCATACTTGGCCGTCAGGAACTTCTCCCGTCGTTCCTTCACCTGAAGTCATCACCACAGGTAATTAAATTTTCTGTATATGCCGCAGCAGCGGCGCGAGGGCCATGTATTTCCATTTTCTCCTGTTGTTGGATTATTATTTATATCTCTATCTTTGACAAATCAATAGTAATAGCTACATTATTTTATTAACAAGTAACTGTCCACTTGAAGAAGCTTTTGGTAGCCTTGTGCCTTTTAATAGTGTGCCGGCAAAACGCATTATTTTCTTTACCTCCTCTACCTCGACTCCAGTTGACTATGTACCTAGGGCTATAGAAGGTAATGCAGCCGATAAGTACAGCTTGTTTACACAAAAGTTACTTTAGTTCAATCCCATCCCATAAGAATGTTGATATGTGGAAGCATTTGAAAGAAAACACGCCACGGTCCTTGCCTTTGCCTCGCGACATGTGATGTGATGTGTTTAGGGTCAGTTGGATAACGATCATGGGGCAAAAGGAGTTTGAAAGTTGACGTTACACGTTCGATCGTTCTGTAGTACAATAAACTAACGGTCAGTTGGATATTCACGAGTTTCAGTTAAGCACGTTCACTAGTAACGTAGTCTTTTTGACAGTGGTTTTCCAGAATTCAGTGAAATAACGCGAATGCCAATACAAGCTTCTTATTTGATGAAGAGCGTGTTACAATTTTGGTTGTTTAGGAAATTAATTACACTTTAGAGTGTTAAAAAAAATACGTGGCACGACGATACTATCGCCGCGATTGTCTCGCTCGTGGGGATGGCGCTGAAGGCCGTAGGCAGGTCAAGACGGTTACCTCTCCTTTGTCGATGAAGTTGACATGGAGGCCGGACTTGGCAGGCGAGCGCTCGGTGGGCGAGAGCGCGGGGTGCGGGGGACGCGCCGGGAACCCGCCCGCCGCCACGCCGCACTCCATGCCGCCGCCGCCGCCGCCGCTGCGGCTCTGCATAACAATAACAATACATACAAATAAAGCTCATTCATCAACAAGCACTTAATTTTATTTATATTCATTAGAATTTAAAATCTGATGCCCGTGGCAGATGCTACTTGCACCCCTGACCCCTAGGTATGGCCCTGGGCTGAGGCCGCCCCTGTCAGTATAGTATCTAAGGTCACTGGACGGAATTCCGACCCGGTCGCGGACATTAATGGAAATAGTGTTAAATGGAAGGTAATAAGTCCACTTAACAATAGAGCCATTTTGTTAGAAATCGAATGGAATAAAAATAAACGAACCAATGATTCCTCGCGTTGTCTATTGTGGTAAACTGACCAGATCGTGGACATCATTGAAAATGGTATTATATGAGAGATAATAATTTAGATTGTAATCGCCGGAAAAAAGATAGAATCCATAAATTATTCCTCAAGTTTCATGTTTCTAACTTCAAACTGACGGATTTTCGTATAACCTTTCATCCCCTATTTTACCCTTTCAGGGTTAGAATTACCTCTTACGCCAGCACAACTGTTTACCCATTTTTATTAGTAGTCTAATCATAACTTTTCATGTTTCAAACCGTTGAAATAATAAGTCCCACTTCAATAGTTTACACTCGGCGATGATGGGTTGGTCGTAACAAGTGTGAATTAGTTTTTGCAGTGTAGTAATTGCAGCTCTCACCGTGATAAACTGGAGACATAAAACTATGAAGGTATATTCTCAGTTTAATTTCTGTGCCCCATGTTTTTTTCCATACTATTTGCCCGGTTACATTTACTATACTAAACCTAGTAACTATATAACAAGCTCAGCCATGACCGCCAGTGACTCGAGAAATATAATAGCTATCGAGCTAAGTATATAGAAAGAATTATAGTTTACTGGCTAAGCTATATCCAAGTGTGTACAGTATTAGCTCTAGCGAAATGAAGTACAAAAAAGTGGGAGAAAAATTAAGTTTTCCTTTAACCTAAATATGGAATCTTTCTCTGTCTCTGAAGCGCGTCGTGTGGCCGGTGGCCGTTGGCGAGAGCGGATTTGTAAGCTGACACCGCGCGCCGTGACGCGACTTTTTAACGTCAACACAGTACCTACCTAGTCTAAAACCAGCGCGTTTATTATTAAACTATGTCTCATTTGTTATTAAATAGGTAACTGAAGCATCGAAACATTTAGATATAACATAGACAAACAAAATGTAGACTGGATTCCCGGCAACCCATACCTACGAACAGTATATAAATATCCATTCGGATGTTGTTACTTTTATTTGTATTCGTTGTTGTAGGCTAGCTACACACGGAATCTCTGAAAGATACGAAACGTCTGAAGCTACAATACTTTTTAAAAACATGCGAGATAAAGCCGTTCAAAAATAGCTATGGCGTGTTATAGCTTTTTTCGTGCCTCAAAATGAAAAAGCGGAACCCGTATAGAATCACTTTCTTGCCCGTCTGTCTGTCAAAATCATTTATTCAGAGCAAGTGTGGAGATGTAGAGTTGAAATTAAAACCATATACCTACTCAGGCCTACAGTGCCTTGAAGCTGTGAAGAAATGAAACTGCTAACGATACCTATATCGTGTTACTTTTCTCACTAATCCATATGATTTTTACCGTTTATTAATTACAATGAGAATGCACAATGGTTATTTGAAGGTTCTTGATCTATACATAAATGTATTTAACCTCTACGATTAACTTTCGTTTTTCCTTCCTGAAAATTCCGACCGAACCTGAACCTGCTCTCATTTCCCGTAAAAACAAGGTTGCCATAACACAACACGAACGAGCGACTGATAATTCAATTTCATTTTCCATTCACTAGACGCACGGCGAACAGTAAACACGGTATCGCTATCTCTCTGTCTTCAAAAAATCGTAAAAGTAGGAAAAGTCAGTTTCTTTTAATTTCTTTAGTGTAAATACGTAGGGAAACTGAGAAGAAATAATTATCTCCATACATTTTTAAGCCTCTTGTGTGTGAAGATATAATCACGAATTTGCTGCAAATTGTATAGTGCAAATCAAAAGTTAACATCTAACGTGGTTACCCGTCGGTAAAGCAGTGCATATTTACTCAACACTCGACGACCGCCACTGACCGCTACTCTGCCGCTACCACGATAAGCTACGGTAAAGGATAGTTTGGACCACCACGCTACCACGATATCCGGCGATAAACGACAAACTTCTCACAGGCGGCTCAAACTACAAGTTTCATAATAAAGGTCAATATGATATGCTCGGGTTGTCTTCGGTGTATATCGGGGGAGGACTACTTATCTTGTGCAGCTGAAAATTGTAACAAGATATTCCATGCCATTTGTGCTAATGTGTCTACACTTACACAAAAGCTAAAAAAAACATTTGCCCTGATTGTAAATGCAAGACAAAAGAGTGTGGGGATAACTCCAATACCCCAGTGCGAGTAAATGAAAACGTACGAAAGAAAACTCTCCCTACAGCAACAAATTTAGATAATAACTGTTCTGGTTCACAGACAATTGGTTTTGAACGAATAATCCAAAATAAATCCAATCCATGCGTCGGAACATTGTCCTTACTTAACCCAGGAAAATTCTTGCAACTGCAATCGGATTGAAAGAGCAGAAGTTATAAAGTATCTTTGAGTATTTTTGTATGAAAGGCTTGTTTTTAAAGTGCATACATTTGAAATGTCAAAAAGAGTGAGAAAACTTATATGTGTAATGAAAAATTTACAGGATGTAGTAAATGGAAATATTGTTAGAATGATTTACGCTTCTCTCTGTCAACCCATTATCAACTATTGTATATTGGTTTGAGGTGGATCCGCTAGTTCGAATCTTATCTCCCTCGAAAAAGCGCAAAGAGGAGTTTTAAAGGCCGCTCTAGGGAAACCTATGCGTTATTCAACTGCTGCTCTTTACGAGGAGGCTGGAGTTTTGAGTATTAGAAGATTGTATTTTATGAGAGTTGTAGTCGCAGTTCATAGGTCTGTACTGAAATCTGAAGCATATAAACAGATGCTGAGAAAACGTGTTTTTAAACTGCCAATTCCATCTGGAGTTACCACTTTTGCACATCGTTTCGGGATTTTTCTTCGGCCTTACTTGCCAAAATATGCCATTTTGAGTATTCTAGTGTTCAGGAAACAAAAAGGCTGGTTTCAGGGACACTGATGAACTGGACATACGAGAAGACCGAGGCGTTCCTAGCAGCTCTGAAGTAGTCCTGGTATAAAATAAAGGATAATAATAATACTATACCACATATACTGTCACGCAAACACACATCACATAGCATTCACACATACACGACATAAATGTCCATGTCCCTGATCAGCATTCTATAAAATATCAGAATAACTGTTTGTTTTAAATATCGTTATAATCTTCTCCACAGGCCAGGCACTGCCTAGTGTGGGGGTCAGTGTGTATACAATTGTAATGGTTTCTGGGATTGAACATTTTTCATTTTCATAAATTGTTAATCATAAATTAATATATTAATATTCTAATATATTTAGTTTTATAATAGTATTTATATGTATCTATGCTTTTTAATGAACAACTTAGAAACCATAAAGTGTATCTTATTACATATTACAACTTTAGGCATATTTACTATTATTCTTTTCTTATTTTTTTTCAATGATTACTTTAATATACAGGGAGGTTTAACCATTAAATAACAACATTATAATATTAAACAATGTTATTGTTATTTTATGCATTAACAATCAGAACCGTTCCTTTTAATTTAAATTAAAATTTTAAAAAACAAAATGAAAAAAGTCATAATTTGTTTTAATAACCTAACAGTAGTTTCCATATACCTACACCGCACCCGTAAAAACGCATAATGAGGGGACTCACATGGGAATCAAAATGGACGGGGTGGGTACTTATCTACTTCTCGTTGAGCTGACTGGAGTTATGAAACTTGGCAAGTAACATTTTTTTATGGTACAAGTTCAAGGAAAAACTGTACAATTAAATTACAAAAAATATTGTCTTATTAGCGGATTTGGCGGTTAATCCGTATTCTACTTCTACCACATACTTATATTGATTTTGGATTAAGTGTAGCTACGCGGTAAAGCGACCTTCTTGTCCTGAAAAAACATCGCAAAGTAGAAGGTGTAATTACCTTCTACAGCTTTTTCTGTATGTAATGCTTATACTTATTCTATTATAAATAAATAAATTATAATACCACAATATGTTTATTTTATTATTATTATTTTATTTATATATTTAGTCATATATGTTAGTTTATTTAAATTTTCGAAATAGCATTGTTTGTCTAATTACGACTATAATAAAGTTAAAAAAACTATACAACATCCAAAACCATAGATTAAATATGAAAAAAAAAACACTTAAACACTTGACCGTTATTTTAAACTTTATAGTTTGGAGATAGGCTTTATGGTTTCCTGCCTGCCTATTTGCCTCCGTTTCTATCTATTTTGCCTTTAACTCGCACATCTGGCGTCCCTCGACGGCTCCACCAGACAGCCATTGCTCGCTTGCTTCATTGGCATTTTGTTTCCTGCAGCGCACGGAGGTGCTTCAACGGGTATCCAGTGAGTAAATAACGACACTTTCTTTTTTAGAAATCAATTGTTGTAGATACCCTAGCCTGTCTCATTATATTTGAAATTCTTGAAATAAATTCAAAATATATTTTTAATAAGTAATCAATTTTAGATTTGTATTTATACACCAACAATTTTGCCAACCGTATAAAAAGTATTTTTGACCAATAGGGAATAATGTATATTGATTTATTATGAGTATGTATGACTCGGCAACCCGCATATTAATCACTAATCGAAGATATCTGTCCTGTTATTTCTGATATTGTAATGAAAAGTGACTTCATAGTCTAATGAAGTCACTTTTCAAATAAAACGAGGAGAAAAAGCAGCCCTTGCCGAGTTTCTTGCCGGTTCTTTTTAGTACAAGGTCTCCCACCGTAGT